AGAGGTTTGTAGCATTTCCTGTATGCTCTCCCTTCTTTCCTATGACCCTGCCACCAACTTCATCCTCTCACACCTGAAGTATTACAATAGCCTGCTGGTTGGTCTCCCTGCTTCAAGTCTCTCCCTGCTCCAATTCGTCCTCTACTCAACTGTCAAATTAATCTTCCTGAAATGCAGATGTGACCATGTCATCCTCCTATTCAGTAAATTCTAGCAGTCCCCAACACCCCTAGGATCACATATAAAATTTTCTGTTTGGTGTTCAAAGTCCTTCCCTCCTACTTTTCTGGTCTTCTCATACCTTACTCTGTCTCCCTCTCCACTACATATTCTTCCATCCAGTGATACGTGCCTCCTTTCTTTTCCTTGCTTAAGATACTCCATCATCAGACTCCACACATTTGCACCGGCTGTTCCACATGCCTGAAAATATTCTCCCTCCTCATCTCTGCCTCCTGGTTTCTTTGGCTTCCTTCAAATCCCAAATAAAATCTTCTTTGAGAAGTCTTTCCTGATCCCCCTTAATTCCAGTATCTTCTGTCCGTTGATTATCTTCAATTTATCCGGTATGTATCTTGTTTGTACATAAGTGTTTTCATACTCTTCCCCATTAGTTGTAACCCCATTGCCTGGTACATAGTAGGTGCTTAATAAATGTTTGTTGACTGATTGACTGTCATTCATGTCTTACTCTAACAGCCCTCTTTACTAAAGTAGTAGATATAGATACTTGTGTGTGTATAGATATAGATACAGGGATATACACATATGATTTGGAACATTTAACCATACTTTCTGCAAGACAGTAGCAAAGATGTACTCTGTCCACTGCTGATTAACTAGAGTTCCTCAAGAAGAATGGAGATAGATGCTTGGCCATACTATCTAGTAGAAAAGGAAACAAGAAAGCAGATGAGTGATGAATATTACCTCCAAGTTAGTGATCCTTTGCCTTTGGTCCCATCCATTCTTGTTGCTGACATATTTTTTTTCCTAACCAGACTTTGACCTAGCTTAAAGCCTTTCTTAGACAGTAATTGTTTTTGGCTTCTTGATTACAACTCACTACTACAATGGAAAAGTCTCTAGTATCCTCTAGATTTTGTGGTGGATAAAACATAGAATGTGGACTCAGAGCATCTATGTTTGAATTCTGCCTTAAACTCTTTCTAGCTCTGTGGTTACTTAATCTTTCAGAGTCTCAGTTTCCACATGTATAAAGTGGCTCTACTTCACATGATTTTTGTGAAGAAAGGGCTTTTGTGCCAACAAATAAATGTGAATTATTATTATTATCATCATATCATTACCATCATAACTCATGGCTTTATTTGCTGGAGCCCCTGGCTTGGGCCCTCTTGTCCTGATGATATACTTCAATCTCTTCCTCTAACACCCTAAGGCAAACCCCACCTCCCCATTCCTATGAATTTTAGTTGACCTCCCTACTAGCTGGACTCTGTCCCAGTAGAAATTGGAATGGAGCTGGACAGGACAGACACTGAAAATTCTTGTGCTTTCCCTTGAAATCTACAGTTACTTTGAAAAGTTTCTATCATTGAGTTCATGACTAAATGATACCTTGGAGCCAATAAACAATGACTGAAACTAAGATTTGAATCATATGAGATGTGTGGCAAGGACTACTATTTAAAGCTGTGTTTCTAGACTTCATTGTCAGTAAGTCTCTCTTCACATTTAATGGAGGTTACAGCTCAGAGAGGACAGTGCCAAAAAACCATTTGAGGAGTAGGATGCTCCAGATATATAGAAGACATGTATATATCACTGTCATTCTACTGAAGATTTGGTTAAATGCTTCTTTGCAAAGTAGAATTCAACAAATATCTATTGAATAGTTACTGTGTTTCAATAGCATGGCATGCTAGACATTTTGAAAAATATAAAAGAAGTAGAAAATAATATTTTACCTTACAATCTATTTGGAGGATATATATGCATGAACTAATTGGTAAGCAGCATAAAGTAGTATGAGGTGATGGGTTAGTGGATAGAGTGCTGGGCCTGGAATGAGGAACACCTAAAGTCAAATCTGGCCTCAGAGATTTACTAGCTGTGTGATCCTGGGTAAGTCACTTAATCTCTGTTTGCCTTACTCCACTGGAGAAGGAAATAGCAAACCACTCCAGTATCTTTTGCCAAAAAAAAAAAGCAACAACAACAACCCATGGACAGTATGGTCTAGGGGATCATGAAGAGTTAGATATGACTGAACAAAGTAAAAATAAAGTAGAATATCATATAGGTATGCAGAAAGAATATTATTAAGTTGGAGGATGTCCAGAAGAGAGCAGCCAGGACAATTCAATGCTTCAAGTCCATGGCGTGTGAGGATTGGGTGAAGGAACTGGGGATCTTTATCATGGAACATTCTATGAAAGCTGTCATCAAGTATAAGAAGGCCAGTCATGTAAAAAAGATGCTAGTCTTGTTTTATTTGAACTCAGAGAGAAGAATCAAGGGCAAAGGGTAAAAGTGGCAAAGAGGCATATTTATTTTTTTAGTTTTTGATTTTTTGTTTTGTAAAGAGAAACTTCCCACAAATGAGAGCTGCTTCAGAAATAGAAGGGTCTGCCTGCCTCTGGAGGGAATGTGTAGCCCCTCTTTGGAGGTCATCCAGCAGAGGTTGAATAGCTACTTACTAGTTATGATTTGGTGGGGATTCTTATTCAGCTATGAGGCAGACTAGATGACAGCTGACACCCCTGTCGACCCTGAAATTTTGAGATTCTATGATTTGGGGATGTCTGGTTGTGTTTTATGGGTTATAAATGCCATAGGAACTTAACTACTAAAGAAATGGTTGTTGACTGGAATAATCAAGGTGGGCTTGGCATAGAGAGGGTGGGCCTTGAATAAGTAGGATTTACACAGAGAATAAGAACAGTGACAGTCATCCTGGAACAAGGTAAGTGGTCCTAAAACTTCCCATAGTCAATTGCATGGTTTGTTTGTTTTTTTTCTTTTCAAGGAAAAAATCATTTTAAGTCAATTTGGTAGAATATTTTTCTCTACCAAGCAGAAAGTCTGAAACGTCAAAAATAACCACAGACAGTAAACAATTTCCAGTGTCTAGACATATCTATTCTATTCCATTCTTGTCTGAATCATGATATGAACAGAAGACTGTTATCATATTAGAAGGAAGGCAAGCAACTGATGGTCAAGACTATTTAAAAATAGTGTTTTATGATATTTAAAAAAAAAACCCATGTAATTTGTGTCCCAATCAAAATTTACTTTTATCAAAGAGGAATAGATGCCTCTTCTTGTTGTTGTTGTTTTTTCTTCATTCTTAAAGAGGACCATGACATCAGGAAGGTGGTTCCATGACTTACAAGTGAATTGGATTTAAGTGAGGGAGAGCTATGCAAAGTCACCAGCCTCACTTTCTCCTCTGGAGCCATTTGAGTCTAATGACAAGATATAGATCAGATGCCTCTAAATAAAAGGCTTGAGCCATAACTGCTACTCGAGAACGTACTTCTGAATATCTTCTATGGGAGTAAGATAACAACAGCTAGTGTCCCTAGAATGAGCACAATAGCCTGCTCTATGAAAAGTCTTCAAAATTCTATAATGTTGTCTTCAGATAACATTAGATCACATTTCAATACTCATTTCAGGGTCACAGAATCTCAGAATTGGAAGGGGCTTTAGAGGTATATTCTATAATATTCTAGATGTATTCTAACCAGGGAAGAATACAATAGAATTATCACTCCCTAAGCATGGATACTATCTCTTAATGCATCCTAATATTACATTAACTATCTTGGCAGCTATGAAATTGTTGATTATTACATTTGTAATAAACTAAAATAACCCCCAGATTATTTTCCAGATAAACTGTAGGCATAGCTCTCTTATCTTATATTAATAAAGATATTTTTAAAACAAATTTAAGAATTTTTATTTATCCCTTTATTAGATTCAGTCCAATATTCTAGCTTGTTGAGATCTTTATCCATCCTGATGTATCCAACATGTTACTTATCCCTCCTAGCTTTATATCATATGAATACATGAAAAACATTAAGTTACTAGCAAAAAAAATTACACAACAGCTAAGATTCCTAGACCATTCCATTTGAATCTGCCTTTCAAGTTGACATAGAACCATTAATGACTATTCTACAACCAACCGGTCAACTATTTCCTAACTATATTATTGTTTTAATCACATCTTTCTGTGTAATCCACAAGAATTTATGTGCATTTTTGTCAAATGCTTTGCCAAATTCTAGGCAAATTAATTCACTTGCATTTCCCTAATCTAACAGTCTAGAACTGCAACACAAAAAAAAGGAAAACAAAATTAATCTGACATAACATCTTTGACATGAAACCATCAAGAAGATATATAACTTTGTAAGTTTTGTAACTTAGGATAACATAGACAAAGAGATTTCCACTATAGACATAGTTGAATTTTAACTGGGGATGTGGATGAAGGGTGGAGGGGGGTGTGATATACTGTTTTGGGGACAAAGCTGTAATTAGCTATTTTGGTATCAAATGCAAGTAACAGCAGTGGTGGCATAGCCTCCAGAAAGAGGAATCATTCCTTAGAATCTCACAAGATTTCCAAAAAGCTACAAAAAGAGGAAGAAAGCCCCTTTGGGATGAGACCACCACTACTGTCACTGTGGTAGGAACCATTAGCACTAAAGGAAGTATTCTCAGATTGGTGCTGTTGGCATTTCCTACTATGACACAAATTTCCAATCATCATGCTCTATTATAGATTTTTTTATAGGTACTTTACCTAAATGAGATTAACTCTTTCATCCCAAGCAATAGATAAAATCTAGAAAAGTAATTTGCTAATTATTTAATTCTACAGTTTGCTTTTAAAATATTTATACATATATTCAAAATTACCAGTAACTCAGCAATGAGCACCCCAAAGAAGTTTCCAATGTTTCCCTGACTAATATGTTACAGTTGTATAGAGATAAAAGGTTGAATGTTATTACCTGTTTCCATGTTTTTTAACTAAGGCTCTAATGGCTTTATCTGTAATCTGGCATCCATTTATAGATAATCCTTGAAGGCTAAAAGTAAACAAAATTATAGTTACACTTAATCATTTTTTTCTTTATTTAAAAAAGAAGATAAATATCTGTGTCTATCTATATATCTCTATATATTTCTATCTGTATAGAGATCTATCTATATTTAGATATAGGTATATCTGTAGAGAGATAAAAGATATATTTATCTATAGATCTTTCTATGTAGATCTATAAATATCTTTACAGAGAAAAATATATACATATAGCATTTGCTATGAAAAAAGACAAAAGAAATCTAAGGTCTTAGCCAATACATGCAGACTCTAGATAGTTAAGTAAGAATGCAAGGCACTATGCCAGCATAAGTAATACAGATAAGTGTGATAGGAGCTCAGAAAAGAGGGTTAACTATGATTGCAAAAAATGGCTTAAATCAGGTGTCAGGATTATTTGCAAGTTGCAATTATTCATGTTATTTCAGCCTCCAGACGTTAAGGTCACGCAAGAGTTTACAGGAAGCATTTTTTTTTTAAAATCCAAAGAGGACAAAGGAATTCACTAGAACAAAGCAATCCCTCTTCCTGGTTTGGGAGTTATATATGACTCAACAATGTGACACACTGCCAAAAGAGCAAAGATGGTTTTAGACTGCATTAACACAAGGATAGAATAAAAAGCCATGGTATTGTTCTACCATACTCTTTCAGGCAATATCTAAAGTATTATGTCAAAAACTGAGCACCACATTTTCAAGACACTAGAAAGCTATAGGAGGGTGTCTAGAGGAAAATAACCATTAAGATGGTGTTCTCTTTTCTTTCTACAGATACTGATCACAGGAAAAGGAAAGGCTACTATTGCACTTGGGGAAAGACAGAATTAATTTTTGATACTGTACCTTGAAGCTCCTTCAACAAGAGCTAATACACCCAGATCTGTAGCCCCACTCCAACTTATATCCACTACGGTCAACCTGTTGCAAAATGTACTTGCATAGAGAAGAAGCTTATCCCCTTTCAGTCTGGGACCACTGCAGCTTGTGACATTCAGCTCCTGGGTGGTTTAAAAAAAATCAAGCACATACATAGTGATCATTAACTGTAATGCTTCTCAGTCATTAAATTGTGACAACTGGAGATCATGAGAAAGGGGTTCCATGATTATAACAAAGAGAAAAAACTGGAGAAGTGGGTGAGTTCAACATTAACTTATTGTCCAAGTGAAAGATGGGCAACAGAGAAAATGAAGAGAAAACAAGGAGCATTGTAAATCTCTGAAGACGGCAAAGCTCCAGCCATTCAGGTCTGGTATCTTATTCACCTCACATCCACCACTCCTGTCTCCATTTTGCTTCCTAGAAAAATTATTAAGTTGGCGATACCAATAGTTGCAAAGCCACATCCCATTCTACCAACATGTCCTTCTTGAAGAAAGGCAGATTTAGATTTATTGTAAGGAAAAATGTCCCACCAAGCAGAGTTATCTCAAAGTAGAATGGCTTGCCTTCAGTGCTAGTGGGCTTCCCCTAATAGGCAGATTTCTAAGACAGACTGGATGATCACTTTTCAGGGGTGGTGTAGAGGGGATGCCGTTCATTTACAAGTTGTAATAGATTGTTTCAGAGGTCCCTTTCAGGCAGCTAGGTGGTATAGTGGAAAGACTGCTAGACCTGAAATGAAGGAGATTTGAGTTTGAATCTTGTCCCCAACGTTTTCTAACTATTTGACTCTGGGCAAATACATTAGCTACTATAAGCCTCAGTTTCCTCATCTATAAAATGAGGGGGTTGGATTTAATATATTCCAAGGTCGCTTCCAGCAGTAAATCTATGGTGCATGCTAAGGATTGCTTATAATAATTTTCAGCCTTGTAGAGTCAGAAGAGGAGAAATCATCCAAGGAAGTATTACCTTTTTAAAAACCTAAACTAGAGAGCAGAATAAGTATAAGTAGGAGAAATTTTTGATTGGCATTTCAACTTCCACATTTCGTTATTTCAAGAATCTCATGTTACATCCCTATGGGTGGTATTTTAGCCAAAAAATCCATCACTAAGCAACCAACCTGGTCGTGATTCTCTTAATTCAGCTAAGCTGGTCTTCATACAACAAACATTGTCTACTTGGGGATCTGTGACTGAAGTTTTTTCCAGCTTGGTGGTACCTGCCAAAGCTTGATTCTCCATCAGTATAAACTTGGAGATCCAAGAATCATCTCCATACTATGAGGAGACTTTAGAAGGGTACTTCATTGGTGGAGAGTTTTAACAATAATAACAATAATGATGATGGTGGCTAGCATTTACATATTACTTCATTTGATCCTCACAACAACCCTGTGAGGTAAGTGATATTAGGTTGTGCTTGTCCTTCGTTCTCGAAGAGAACCATGACATCAGGGAGATGATGACATGACTTGCAAATGACTTTGATTTGAGTGAAGGAGGGCTGTACAAGGTCACCAGCTTCACTTTCTCTTTCAGAGCCATCTAGGTCCAGTGGCCAGATATTCATCAGAATGACTAGAGATTGTCCAGGATGCAGTGGGAGACCCTGGCCCTTTTAAGTTAAGGTCTTCTCAGGTTCTCACTTTGAGTGAGGAAACACTCATTCAGTGAATAGGCCTCTTTACAAAGGGATTCAAGTGATGGCCCCTTTAATAAAAAAAAATCAAACTGGAAGGGGAAGACCCTCAGATACACAAACTGAGGTTGAGAGAGTTCAAGTGACTTGTCCAAAGCCACACAATTCATGTAGCATGTTTTAAACTCAAGACTCCCTGACTGTGCTACTTAGCTGCCTAATGTGTAAACATGTAATTTTATGGCATTATGAGGGAATTTAACAACCATTGGCACCAGTGGCTGCCAGTAATCTGCAAATCATAGTAATCAGGGATTCTGGTGTCATTGTCAGACTTAAACTCCCATGTTAAATTAGAACTACAAATTTAATCCAAGCTAACACAATTACTGAATATAAGGAATTCCTCCACAGATCTTTATCAAATGGAAAAACAATCTCCATTAAGGATCTCAAAGTCACTAACAAACTAAACCAACCTGATGTTCAGTCATTCTGTGTCCAACTCATTATGACCCCATTTAGGGTTTTCTTAGCAAAGATACTGGAGTAGTTTGCCATTTCCTTCTCCAGCTCATTTAACAAATGAGGAAACTAGGGCAACAGGTTAAGTAACTAGCCCAAGTGTCACATAGCTAATAAGTGTCTGAGGTCAGATTTGAACTCAGGTCTTCCTGATTCCAGGGTCAGTGCTCCAGCCACCTAACTGCTCAAAATAAACCCTATATAAGCATCTAATTACAGATAAGGAAGCTGGAAGCGTTTCAGGTAGCTGTATCTACAAGACACAGATGGGAAATGGAACTGTGAGTGCTCAGCAGAAGCTGTGCCTTCTATAAAAGGGAACACAGTGAAATAGGGCTTACAGAGAAATTCATGTGTTTGAGTCTAAAGATATCAAATTTACCTTGTTAAGTCATATTTGTAATGGAAGGATTAGCCCCCTCAATTTCCCACTTAAGGAGAGCCAATGGTTGGCCTTAGCTGGAACTCTCTTTTCTTACTAATCCAGAATTATGCAGGCCAGGACAACCTGAGCAGGCACAAAAGGGCTTTCTTGTATAAATCCCAAAAGCTACTTCTTATTTAGTGAGTTTTCATTAACCCACCACCTTAATCTTTCTCTAAATCTTCATTTCTGATCATGGAATGAAAGGCTTTGTTGCGTCTTAAAGACATTTTTGGCATCAGCAAAGGGGGAGGTATGGTAGGTAGCATTTCTTTTTCCTCCTAAAATACATTTTACTGTTGTGCTTTGTCCTCAAGTCATCATCACTTCAACTCCCAGATGGAACCCAGAGGGAAGTTATTTCCTTGAGTAGTAGGCCCTTTCCCTTGCCTATGAAATCGGGGTGTTTTGCAGGTGGCCACCTACTTCACCTCTATGTAAAGCTAACTTTTATTAATAAGCACCTTTTCTAGGACCTGTGTTAACTAAATTCAAAATCTCTTATTTAGCCTAATAAGGATAAATATTGTTATTTGTAAGGATAAATGTTATTTACCCTACTAAGTCCCACTGCTTTATAGGAATCAGTTTTTAGAGTTGAAGGGGATCTTTGAGGTTTTCTAGCCCAACTCTATTTTACAGTTGACAAAACTGAGGCTAGAGAGGTCAAATGACTTCCTTAAGGTTGTAGTTATCATGCAGCAAAAACAAGATTTGATGCTAGGACTTCTTCCTCCAAATTCAGTATTCTTCCCACTACACCAAATTGCCTCTGAACTCCTTCATAATCAGAGTTACTAATGTAGAAGTCCTCTTAACTTCCACAGCTACATTCCTCAAAAACAATACTTGCAACCAGCAGGCCAAGATGCCTTCTCTCTTCACTAGAGACCAACATTGCCCAACACTCAACAATGTATTTTTGATTGGCAGTTGGTTCAGAACCACTAAAAGCTTTTCCTCTTAGAAGGTTCTACTCCTCTTTAAAAGGAAACAAAGTTTAGCAAGGTTTACAAGGTTTACAACAAATAAGATAAACCAAATGAGGAGCATATCAGTCCAAAGGAAAAGGAGATATTTGCTTTTTAATGCTATTCCTTGGAAAGGCTGTTTTTAGTACTGAGAGGTCCACAGGAGTGGAACATTACACGCATTTACTGATTTGTGTGTGTGTGTATGTGTTAGATTTGCTGATTTTTTTTCTCTTCCTCTTTTTTTCTTAAAAAAACTTCTTTGTTACATAGGATGGCTCTCTGGGAGAAGCAAGGAGAATAATATAGGGAAAAATTTAGGCAATATAAAAACAAGACATATTAATAAAGTTTAAAAAAACAGACTAAAGGGCTTTCTTCTGTAATTTCAGATATTCTCTGGTCAAACATTTTAGCTTGGTCCTGAGAAGATTAAGATTGATCCTGTATCATTTTCCTATTGACTCTATTTACAAGTAATTGATTTTGTCCAATAACTGCTTTTGTTCTTTGTTTCTGAGCTTAGTTCAGAGTTCAACTGGCCTGTTAAGTTGAAAAATTGCTGTCTCAAGGAATTTAACTAACCTTGGAGAATGCATGTGAACACAAGAGCATTTGGGCCTGACATCTTTACTCTACCAAACTGTCCTTTAAAGATATCTGGTTTGCCATCCAAATGTCAGACTCACTACCTCACACCTGTACTCAAAGAAAAGAATGGGAGGCCATTGCCAGCTCCCATTACCAAACTTCTGACCAATCATTCCATTCTCTGTGCCTCAGCTTTGTAACCACTCATGTTGTACTCAATCCCAAGATTCTTTGTTCTGTAGTACCCAAAACCTTTTGTTTGGGGTCTTTGGCATCAATGGCAGCAATCCATTGACCCATTTTTTGGCAGGTACCATGCTCATGCTAATAAATGTTATCTTGCGCAGAGATTTACCTCAGTTTACCATTTTGCCAAATTTCACTTGAGGCAGTACAAATCTAGCTATACTCAATTTAAGAAACTTCTTTGTATGGATTTAACTGAAGTTATTTTTCCCATGGCTGGGGGTGGGGGTAGGGGAAAGAGGTCATGGAGCAGTAGTTCAAGATAACTCCAATTACTCCTTCACAAAGTTGCCAAATTGATTGTCTTTGATGCACAGGTCTGACTTTATCACTTGTACCATTTCTCTCCCCTAACTATGGTGCCTTGCATATAGCAGGTATTTAATTCAGATTTATTAAATCAAATTTGTAGAAATAAAAATTAAGCTTGAGGAGGGAGGTTATATAATATTTTAAAATATCTTTGAAGAAATGAGTAGAGACAGGAGAGGCAGTGTGGCATGGTGAAAAGCATGCCAGATTTGCTATCATAAGACCTGTGTTCAAATTCCAGCAAGGCTACTTACTATCTGTGTGTTCTTGGGTAAAGTGAGTTTGCCTCTTTGGGACTCAGTTTCTTCATTTCCAAAAGGAGGAGGTTGTACTATGTGATCTGAGGTACAATAGAGTTACAAATTAGGAGTCCTAGTATTTAATTCATTTTGCAATACCATTG